CACCACAGCATACTGTATTTAAACATTATTGAGAGTATTTTGGGTAGTTGTTATAACACATGAATAAAAACAAATTATAATACAAAAATATAATATCATTATAAAGAGTTAAACACAACTGTATTGATCCCTGGGCGAAATTCACAAGATAAAGTATAGTTAAAAAACCAATATTTATAAAAATATAAATACAAAATAATAATAATATAATAATCTTGATATAGGAAATAAGATCTTACTTTATTGTGAAATGCAAGTTTACTGAACAGTTTTTTAACGACTTTCACAAGATGTTAAACTACTGAATGGCTCTGTACTGTACCTACAAGTATTGATTAACTTTAAAACATTAATATGTAGTTGTTACCTTCCACTCCACAAACTGCAGCGACTAAAAACCAGGCCTTGTCCTTTCTGATGTTGTCCTTGTAAAAAGCATTGGTTACATCATATACAATTGTGTGTTTCTCCACTTCCATTATGAACACCTCGTCGTCCATGGTGCGTTTCGTAGTGGAGGTGTTGTGGGGTCTGCTAAATTAGTATATGTGGGGGATGGGCCTGGCCCGGATGCTCACCTTTCCACTTCCTGCGAGGGGGGGGCTGCCTGCCCGACTTTATCTTACGGCTGCGCCGCGGCAAAAATAGGATTCATCCTAATTTTAGAGAAGCGCTGCGCCGAGCCGCTTCTGGGACGCGTCTGAGCCGTAACGCGGCGCGTGTGGTGTAATAGCACCCATTGTCTAGAGTGGCCGCGATCCTTACGACCGCCGCGGCGCGGCCGTAACACGACGCAGACGCTCCTGGTGTGTTTTGGGGGTTAGACACATCTCGCGATCGACTGGAAATCTCCCCGCGATCGACCGGTCGATCGCGATCGACTGGTTGGGCACCCCTACACTAATACCACAGTACTGGCAAAACGGGAGGAGCCGAGTGAAAAACAAGCGCCCCTCATCCCAATCCACCCACACCGCAGTATTTTTTTCTTTTTTTTTACCCAAAAAATATATTGTATATTATCGGGGCTATTCATACTGGTATCGGGTTTATCGGGATGACGTCATAATTCCTAATATCGGACCGATAATTATCGTGCATCCCTACAAAATACCAAGCACCTTTTCCTCTTAATCAACACACATACATTGTCAGCTGTTCTAGAGTCACCAGCAAACTTCGCGAAAGTGAGATTAGAGTTTAAAAAACAATTCTGTAGGACAATCGTGGCAGGCCTGTGAGAAAGACAAACATTTTCCTAATGAATGTCCGTGACAGTGCAACCAGCAATTGTTTGTGCAACACCTCCGAAACTGTACAGGGGATGTCCACTGCGGGCGGCAGAACATACCCGAATCCAGTAGATTCCCTCAGTGTGTGATTTATTAACTCCTTTACAACAAACTATGGATATTTTCATTTTATGCATGAAAAAAGAAAACAAATTTAAACTGATTTTTCAAAGGAGTTTTTCAACTAAAATAATATCTGTTTAACAAACCAATGAACAAAATGATATATTATGCAAAACTATAAAATACAATACACCAATTTGACATGTTTATATGAGGACCCCCTTGGTGGTTCTAGGAATATTTTATATAAAATTGTGTTTTCTATTTAACTTATTGTACTAAGATTATTTTTGTAATCATGCATGGCATTTTTTTAATTCATTTTATTTATTTATTTTATAAATCTCACGTACCCCCTGCAGTACCCAAACGTACCCCTAGGGGTCCGCGTACCCCCATTTGTGAATCACTGAGTTATGGAGCAAATTGCGATATTTCATGCTGATAATTTATCTTTGAAGATTGTTTCCACAGAGCTCTGATTTTCATGCTCATTATACCAAAGGCACATTTTATGAAGACATTATAATCCTGTTGTGGTTAGGGCGAGTCACATTTAGATACTCTTCAGTGACCCCTATTGTAATAATAGCAGATATGGGACAATGTCAACATGCCATAAAAGGATAAAAATGACTGAATAGGGGAGGAAGAGAAAAAACAATCAACATAACAGATGTGACTCTTTTGACGATATCATCAGGGCAAGTATTTACATTCACTATATATATATATATCTATATACATATCACAAATGCTCTTTCGCTAAACAATTAGAGACGAGCCATTTTAAACTCAATTGGGCAGAGCCGCAGTACGCCAAGACAAGAAAAAACAAGTCAAAAAAATCAAATCAATATTTGTCTTCATAATTAGCTACCATGAGGCATTCAGCCAAAAATCTGTCCTGAGCTTTTGAAGGCATTGTCCGCCATTTTGTCTTTCTTTCATCCTGGATTTATGAGCAGAGTTAATCATCTCTAAAGCACTTACTCTGGGCCGCACACATACAAAAATGTACTGTACAGATACAAATCTTACTCCAAATTGAGATCATTAACTAATCAGCAGCACTCAGCCGCATGATTGTTCTGCCACTGCTCATCCATGTAAGAAATGAACAAATTGAATGGGTGGAAAGCATGGGCGTAGGAAGCATCCTGAATGTGGGGGGGACATTTGTAATGGGGGGTCGCCCCCCACGGGAAAAAAAATAGATTTCCTATATTCTGGTGCATTTTAACAGGTGGTTTGATACTTTTATGTGGCTATACTAGGATGAGGAAAATGATGGGTACATTTTGCAATTTCATCCAGTAGTAAAGAAAGGAAACATATTTGATTATTAATTCAGAGCCGTCTTTGAATTAATAAAAAGCAGTTTAAATGCTCATTTTTTTGTACATTTATATACAACAATAACAATATTGTGCATTGAGAGATATTGTTGTGGAGAGCCATTTATATATAAATCGCAAAATACATTTGTGAATCCTTCTGTGAGCATTTATTAATATTGAGACTGATCTGACTCCATACAGATGTTAAGTTCACCTAGGAATGGTATCATTGACTTAAATGTTCAAATAAATGTTGCTCTTCTGTCTATATTGGTCATATGATGCCCCTTGACTGAAATGTTTCCTGTTCAATATCCCCACTGATTTCCTTAACATTCTGGGATCACAATTTACTCTAAACTGTCATTTCCCTTTCATCACTCACCTCAGCAATGGACCTCTCTCCACTGTCCCTGTGTTCTGCCTCTGCCTCACTCTCAAGCGCCTAGATATCAAGAGAGGTGGTGAAGTGATCATTATTTATTGAGCAGTATACTCTTTCACATTGAATCATAACAAGTCATACTGAATGTAAATACAACTGACTCTAAAGTAAGTCCCAGTCTGTGACATTGGACATTTTGAAGACTCAAAGTCCCAAGCATTAGGTAGAATATTAGCTAGTCTATGTAATGTGCACAGAAAATAAATAGTTAACTGAATACTGGGATGGAAATTGCCTATAAGCACTCAGTAAAACATAAACACACACAAAGAGCTTCTGAATGATAAGAAGTATAATTAAAACATAATGCACATTACCATTTTGAGAGAGAGTACCTAAGAACTCAGAAAATAATCTCTTATCGAACTGAGGCAGTAAAACACACTGACTGCGTCTGACATGTTATGATCATATTGGGGATATGGTGTTTACATGAGCACAGAGAGATCGGGTTATTCATGTTCCCTGTTTACATGATAAATACTAGTAACCTGGCATTTTGATGCCTTTTCTCATCTAAACTATTCAGCATTTGTATCTCTCTATCATGACATAAAGACAAAACTCCTCTCAAGAAGTGAGACGCCGCCGCCATCACTGTTGTTAACTGATTAACTGCTACCAGCTGATGACTTACTTTCCTCTTCTTTGAAAAAAATGTTCTTATGTCCATGTTGTTTGGGGGAGAAAACATATCAAACCAAGAGATCGTCAGCTTTGATTTTCGCTGTATTAACCATTTCCTGAACATTTGGTGTGTGTGTCTTTTACTGCCTTACCTCCGCTACCGGCATCGCTTCATACAACAGGTCTGAGCTGTCCAACTATGACAACACTCCTTGAACATGCGCGCGCTATGTGAGAATCTACCTTGGTACAAAGTAGCAGTGAAAACATGGTAGGCTACGGAGTTTCATTGATTTGGGCATTCTCTCAATAAGCAAGTGGAATGGATTTGATAGTGAAGCACTGACACAGCGCTCTACAAAGTGCGGCGAGTGGATAGACCAATTCACGGACTTTCCACATGGTAAAAGTGGGGGGGTCTAAACGAATCATTTGAAAAAGTGGGGGGGACTTGTCCCACCCTCATATAATGGCTGCGACGCCCATGGTGGAAAGACAAAAGACAAGGGAAGGACAGAGGCTGTATGAAAATAAGAGAGTACAGCTGTGAGAGAGATAAGCACTGTGCAGGAGTTTGCTCTCCTAGTTGTGGTTCAACTCAACAAATACTCATATCTGAGAATCTGCAATTGCCAAGAAGTATCCAAATAACTGCTGATTATCTCTCCTTCATCTACCCAATTCATTAATGGACTATTGTTTCAGTTAAGGATGAACACTTTTTATCATTGATGTTACTAGGGCAACTAACAATTGTATTACTTGAATTTCTTCCACCGAATTGTTGGTTATTTCTTTAATTAATCGATGACACTTTGGTCTTTAAATATCACAAACTAGTCTAAGAAAAGAAATGGCCATTTCAATTTCTGAAAGCCCAAGTTGACATGTTCAGATGTCTTGTTTTGCCCGACCAAAAATTCAACGAATATGTATTTTTATATCATGGGAAAATTATAAAAGAAAGCAACGATTTGAGAAGTTGAAATCAGGAATTGTTTGCAATCCTTAGGAAAATAATATCAAATGATGAACTAATCATCCAAATAAATAATTTGTATGTTTACCAACTCATGGGTTAATTTACTAATCATTTAATCTTAAATTGGTGTTGTATTCATACGTACCTATACAAAATGTTTCTCACATCTGTGAAAATACTAATAGAATATCTCTGTGTTACAAAGTGATTCGTACAGATGTTAAGATGTCTTTGCGTTGATCCCTCTCCAGATATCTACTGCTGTGGCCTGCTGAGCACCAGGAAGAGCGACTGCACAGGTCTACCACAGAACATGTTGGTGTGCAGCTCCACGCCAGCACAGCGCGGCCAATCACGAGTCATGATGAAGGGCAGCATGTCGCTGATCAGCTGGTACAACAAGGGACACTTCAGGTTCCTCACCAACGCTTATCCCCCAACAAAACAAGGTAAACTGCTCTCCTGCACCCAGAACTAAAGGTGTATGTGTCTCACTGAATCATCAATATTTAAAGGCTTTTAGTTCTGACAATATGCATTAGTGCACACGTTTTTCAGTGAAAATAAGCTTACCGTCAGCTCTGGATGTTACCATCAGGTGAAATTGGCAAATGCTTAAGTATTCATGTCAGGGAAAATCAATGAGAGCTTCTAATCCATGATAATCCATTTCCAGGAGCGGAAGCATCATGATATTCTCACATAGTCTAATCCAGTGGTTCCCAAACTTTTTGTGCCCAAAGTAAAAATCTCAAGGCACACCTATTGTGCAAAATAGCCCTTATAACATGTGTTATCACTCATATCATGTAAAATATCTGTAAATGTGCATAATTATTTACTAATGCCAAATAAATAAACTATATTACTCATGAAATATTTATTAACGAAATATTTCAGAAATTAATTTGAAACTTTATCAAATTAGGCTTCATCAAAGCAGCGACACACTCATTTAAACCAGACAGGTCACAACATTAAAAATGAGGCAAAGGAAACTCAGCAGAAATTCAGCACAGAGAACTGTCAATGCAAGGAAGCGGCATTGTCCATGGTCCTGAACTACAAATTATAAATGTAACATTTCAGCAATCAGCATTGAAACATGTGCTATTGTAAATATTTTTGCCGATTTACAAATTAGTGAGATACATGTGCCTGTCGGGGCGCGCAGATTTTTGTAATCCTTGGTGGCACTGAGGAGAGGGCCACTCGCAAGTCCTGTTCAACAGAGAGCCGTGACCTCCTGTTGTTCTTCATGTAAACCAGAGTAGAGAACGCCAACTCCAGAGATGGGGTTGTTACTAAAAAAAATGTAATATATTACATATTACTTTTAAAAAAGTAATATATTACACTACTTCGTTACTATCTACATAAAGTAACTCGTTACTTTACACGTTGCTTTACTCGCCGAGCACGTACGAACTGCGCATGCGTGAGTGGCAATAACTTTCCTTACCAGCAGGCGGTGGTAGTGTGTATTTGTCATTCAAAACAGGCAACAACCGGAAGACAGAGAAGAAGAACAGGCTACGTGATATAAACAAACAACAAATAGCGTGTGCGGTAGCTTCACCTTAGCATGTGTTCTTTGCAGGTGTGTGTTGAGGTTTGACGTGGTGTTTACAGCAGTGGATAACAGCTTCTGGCCTGGACAGTTTGCACCTCACCGTCACATTCCTGTCTATTCTTCGGACGAACTCAAAATAATGGGCATACCTCCACCCCTCTAAAGTTATCGCTGACTCAGCCATGTTTATGCAGCACTGCACGTGGAGATGTGGACGCACAAGTCGCGCAGATTACGTACATATAAACCTACAAAGTACTGATATAGTAAATAAAAAAAATATTATTTTTGTGTAGTTGTATATTGCAATAATAAAGTATGGTTGTCACAAAATCCCACGGCACACCCGGACTTGCCTCACGGCACACCGTTTGGGAACCACTGGTCTAATCCACCCTCGTTGGAAGCGTTTTGTTCGGTCTTAAACTCAGTTGAAAGGCTGCAATCTGTTTGAATGACGAATGTGGAAGGCAAGCCCCAGATCAATTAAACTGTTATTGTCTATGATTGATTTCCCCCCGTGTGTGTGTGTGCGTGCGTGCGTGCGTGTGCGCGCTCAGGGAGCCTCTCGTCTCCCACTCAGGTCACATCTAAACAACGGGGGGGGGGGGGTGTGCAAGTGATGTTCACTCTGTACTAAAAGGAGAACTAAATGAGTTTCCAATACAATCAATAAGGATTATAAATAAAAACAATTGTTTTCTTCTGATGACACACATTACATTATAACAGTTAACACTGCAAATTAAAAAAAATGATCCTAGGTTGGCGAGAGTAAAAACAAGTTGAATGTTAGATTTACATCATATAATTTATGTCTGAACGTGACTCCTAAGCTCAGTCAGATACATATCCATCAATCAATCAATCAATGTTTATTTATATAGCCCAATATCACAAATGTTACATACAGACGCTTCAGCAAGCGTGTTGGTTAAAAACTAAAGTCTGGATTTAGTTCACGGCTCTCTTAACTAGGTGATGAGATGTAAAATAAAGTATATACTGCAACTCCAATTCTCATTTGGAAGGGATTTTGCCAGACAGTTATGGTCAAGGAGGTAAATTAGAGAAGAGTCTCAACATACGTAATAGTGGGTCATTATACTATTCGGGTACAACATTTGCACCGTAAAATCTGACCCCAGAACAGATGATGTGTTTTCCTTGGTAAAATATCTGAAGCAAACACCAATAACAGTGGAGCATTCAGTCATGTAGGAAATGTTATTAGTTATACATGTGTAACCACTAACATTATTAATGGCTACATTTACATGTCCCCATTATCGTGCACGCTGGCTCACTGTCACGGCTTACTGCGACTCAAATGGAACGGAGCCATTGTTAATGTTATTAGTTTCCCCTGTGCGTTTCCTGCTGTGAATAAGACCCATTACTGAGTAAACAAAGCAGCCCTGCAGGGAGCAGAGGATGAATGAACCCGCTGCTTTCCCTCTCCCCTTCAGTTGGCCCCATAGTCTTAAGAAAACGAGTCTCCTCAGTGGGATCTGCTGTCTGTGTCTCACTCTCATTTTGTGCTGTGTTTGTTTGTGGCAGGTATCATCATTAAGAGGAAAAGTGGGGAGATCACTTGTCCCCTGGCTGTTGAGGCCTTTGCTGCGCACCTCAGCTACATCTGCAAATATGACGACAAGTACAGCAAGTATGTACAGCATAGCAAGTTGATTCATGATGTTAATGTGACAGTGTAACATTTTACCTGCTTTCTTGCCTAAATCAATCCTATTTTAGACGGAACATGACATACTTCCCTTAAAGCAACATACTGTTGTATATCCTTACCTTTTCTGTTATGACCATTGGCTTAAGGTGACCAAGGTGACTCAACGTAGAGAAATATGCTGTATTTGAATGAAAATGTGTTGGTTGTTACCTCATAACAATTAATTTTATTTGAGCTCAATTAGTTGATTGACCATACTTGATTTTGACAATCAATACATCGATTAAGATATGTTTCAATACTATTCAACTTCTCCAATTTGATGATTTGCTGCTTTTTCTCAATTTCTCCTTTGCATTTTTGGCATTGAAGGATATCAGAAATTGTAATTTTTCGGTATTTCGGGAATGTCCTTGCAACACAATAGATTTTGCTATGAACTGACAATACTCAGTTACCTAAATAGCTCTTTTGCCAGTGTTACAGTACATTCATCATGTCACAAAACACAAAGTAAAAACTCTGTATCCTTTTTGCCCCTGCTTGTAATCAGCCGCATTTTGAGGTCTTTATTGATAAGAATTGACTTGCCATTATCATGTTTTCTTGACACTTGTTCAGCAAAAATATATATTTTCCTCCCACAGGTACTTTATCTTTCATAAGCCTAACAAGACCTGGCAGCAGGTGTTCTGGTTGAGCATCAGCATCGCCATCAACAACGCGTACATCCTCTACAAGATGTCCGACGCCTACACGGTTAAACGCTACAGCCGAGCGCAGTTTGGAGAGAGACTGGTCAGGGAGCTGCTGGATTTAGACGACTGCTCTCCCACACAGTGAGGAGGAGGACGGCAGCAACAGAAACATACACACACACACACACACACACAAACACACACTTACACTTCATAACAGTTGTACAGACTCTGAAGTCTGTGTTTATGTGATAATACTGAAGCAGTGCCAAGTCTATGTCTCTCTTCTACTAGTTGTTTTCGGTGGTACTGTAAATATTCATTAACACACAGCTGCACTGTACACAGAATAATGAGCCATGGGACATTACACATAACTCAATTGCAACTTTTAACCAAACAAATGTACTAAGGATGTGTCACCAGGAGCTATTTCACAGGCAGAGATGCAGACGGAAACAATGAAGGAGCAATTCAACCTTAAATGATGTCAGCTTCCAGTTTTTAAAGAGAGTGAAGGCTCAAACATGAACTTGTCAGGCTAAAAGGCTTCATGTATCTCGATGTAAACTCTGCAAAAAACACCTGTGATCGTGAAACAAGAGCTTAGTAAACCAGGACTATAGTGTGTTCACACGCTGCATGCATAAAGAATCTGGATTGTGATGTTTCCTTGTTTGGTGTGAAAATGATTTCTGCTGGAAGTGTGTGTGTGTGTGTGTGTGTGTGTGTGTGTGTGTGTGTGTGTGTGTGTGTGTGTGTGTGTGTGTGTGTGTGTGTGTGTGTGTGTGTGTGTGTGTGTGTGTGTGTGTGTGTGTGTGTGTGTGTGTGTGTGTGTGTGTGTGTGTGTGTGTGTGTGTGTGTGTGTGTGTGTGTGTGTGTGTGTGTGTGTGTGTGTGTGTGTGTGTGTGTGTGTGTGTGTGTGTGTGTGTGTGTGTGTGTGTGTGTGTGTGTGTGTGTGTGTGTGTGTGTGTGTGTGTGTGTGTGTGTGTGTGTGTGTGTGTGTGTGTGTGTGTGTGTATTTAGCAAGTGGAACTGCCATTTGTGTGCTCGACGTTGAGCCTGAGGATGTAAATGTACGGCTATTGTGACCCAGATGTGTCGTGTTGCTGCATACTGTACTCGCTAGAGGAAGACTGTCAGGTGACGTAAAGCCACACACAGCAGTGTAAATACCCTCCTGCTTAAAACAAGTCCAAACGTTTTTAAAAATAGATTTTATTTGAATATATTTTAAAGAACTTTAAAGAAATGTTGCATATATATGTATGATGTTCAATATCTTCGACTCAAAGGCAACGATTACAGTTTGGGAAGATCAAAAACATTCTTAGGTTCTATTTATTAAGAGTTTAGCACTTAAACTCTCAACTAGTCTGTTGTTCCTGTGGTCTTATCAGATTTGACTGACAACATAAAGTAATATTGATAAATCCTGATGGATGCTCTAAAATACGTGACTCCACCTACTTCAAACCAGTGAGAAGAGCACGAATACAAATATCAAACTTCTCTTGTAAAAAATAACGTGTTCCAACTGCCACACCTGCAATCTACTTCTGAATCAACACTTTCTAAGACAGACAACCTCTAATTGGTCTGTTTAATTACTCAAGTAGTTAACTGTGCTTTGCGTGGTACAACAAGCTCAAAATTGCCTTGATTTGATGTTATATAAGCCAGTGTTGCTAAGCAACAAGTACAATCTTGCCGAATGGGCAGAGCTTTGGACAATATTGGTTGGCAAGATGTGTGTTCAGGAAGAAAAAACCAAACCCAAATAGCTGGTGGTTTACAAGCTGTCCCAAAAAAAACAAATCTTAATGTAAATAGAAGACTATGTGTGCCCTAATCTCATCAGGAAGTCCAGAAAGTAACACATGCATTTAGAACTGGATCGATGTTATTTATCATAACAATTGCAAGAAAATCGAAATCTTGTTTATTATTCATGTTTTTAAGGAATTATCTTATGTCTCTATTCAGAAGTGGAAGCAAGGAAACATTTATTTCTTCAAGCAGCCCATTTCTTGCCAAGTCACAGATTTACACCTGCCACCCCGCATCCAGCCAATGGAAGTGTGAGTGGAGAGGCGAGTGTTTATTATCTGATTAAATTGCACTTACTGTCTTCGGATCATATACCACACTGCTGTCTGTAGCTTTAATGAGTTATCCGCAGTCCACTGTGCTTTATTCAACGTGTCATGCAGTACACATGTTATTGCAGTGCTTGCATCGCGCTGTGAAGATTTTAGCTGAAGGGTTTTGATGTGTGCTTGCTTAATGAGCATGGTTCGATGTGTGAATAGATATAACAGTGAGATGATGGTGGCAGGCTCATGCACTTTCCAATCACAGTCATGCACTTTGAGGAGAGTTGTATAGCAACATGTTTACTAGATAATCCTTTTACTTTTGAACCCTGTGGTAGTATCCACCGCTCTAAAAAAATTGATTGATAAGTTCTGTAAATATACATATATAATTGGAGTATATTAAAAAAAAAAATGAGGTAAGACTGAAAATTAATGACTATAACCAAAACAGAAACGTTTCCACTTTAGATCTAGAGTACAAGGTGAAGTATGTATGTGTATATTTTGTTTACAAATTATTGCACTGAGTGTTTGTCCATTATCACTCTGTCACTGAGACTCAAGATTGTGATTTTTTTAACTTTTTCACTAATCCAAAGCATTGCTGTTGTCATTGTTGCTCTTGTGTCTTATCACTGTTCACCTAACACTAACACTGTCAACCCCCGTCCTGTCCTGTGTTTGTCAACCGTGGTTTTATGACGTGAATGTCCACAAATTACACAGATGTTTAAAAATTGATGAGATCGTATTATTGAAATGAAGAACAAGTGTTTCTGCAATTTTAGAAACACCTCTTGTCTGTGCAAATGTCCTTTGTTTGTGAATAAAGGAAAAATCCACACTGCTGAAAAAATCTTAAATCAGTTTAAAAGAGTAACTTAATACCTTGGTGAATATTAGTAGAATTAGATAGCTCTCTTCCGCAAAACAACCCTTTAATGGTATTTTTCATATTCCCAATAACAAACGTGATGTTTCGCAAAGAATTTGTCAAAAGTAACTTCAGTGATATTAAATATAAGAATTGACTTATTTAATATCAATAATCACTAAGATCTAAAATCCATGAAATAAAGAGCAGAGGAACTAATTTCTCCATCGAGACTAACCTGAAGAGGCCTTGATGCGATTTTTGTTCTGAGTGAGATGCATAGGTGCAGACGAGACAAGTTGAGAATAATAAAATGGTGAGGCACATACAACTTTCAACAGTATCCATAGGGTGATTTTTTTCCTTCAGAGTGTGTCAAAAGTGTATCAAAATTGGACATAAGCAGGTGTCACATACACACCCTATGAATGCCAGGATTTGAGTCCTTATATCGTTCGGCTCAGACCACAAATGAGAGGAGATCATGCACCAGGGATTTTGCAAGGCCATGGTTACTTTGCAACAAATGATATATGAGTGTGAGAGGGTAGTATTGAAGTTTTTCTGCCAGTATGGAAACATCGTTATCACCCCAACTGCAGACCGAGCTGAGCAGCTTTATATTGCCTCCCTTTTTATCCCCTATCATAAAAGAAAGGCAGAGGATCCTCTTCTATGATGCTTTAGCTAATTTAGCTCAAAAAAGGGTTGTGTTTTAGCAGAAATAGATTAAAAAAAACATGGCTTCATTTTAAATCCTCAGGTTGAACTCTGAAGTGATTATTCTCTGCAGCTGGCTCTATTGATCAGTCTTGAATCAGATATTTCTGTAGTGCCTTTTCTGCTCATTGTTCCCTCATTGCAGTGTTGTATTAAATTATGTTAATTTAAATGATAAGAAGAGATTTCATTTTTAAAACATGTAATATGGTTCAATCCTGTCCTGCATGGTGTAAAAAATAGAAACTAGAGAGAAAAAACACCTTCACAGTAGAGTTTTAGTAGTTGAACATGTGTTATGGAGCCCTATGCCCTTGTACTATAGCTGTAAAGTTTCCCTTCAAGTAATATTTCACATTTCCACATAAACAGTGCCACTGGAGTCAACACTGCATCCTTTGTTATGAGCTTTGAATGTATCTCACAGACATACATCATTTTTAAATACCTTGTCTTTGTGCAATGGATAAATGTACCCCTCCATAAAAATCTAAATGATAGACAGCAGATTTTTTTTTGCATTAACCATAGAGTGCAATTTAATAGAATAGGTATTGAGCCCCCCTACAGTCAGAACATCAAATCGACAAATATGGCCTTGAAACTAATTATAACCACCAATACAAAAGCTAAATTAAATGTCACTTTGATATGTCTTGCTACAACAGTGTGGAACTTTTCTCTCCATTGTCTACCTTTTCACAAATAGCAGAGGTGTCTGATCTCTCATAGCAACTGCTATAACAGAAATATTTGTTTTGTCCGACCAATGACGATCCCTAAATCAAGAAGATGCCATGAAATAAACCACCCTCATTGTCAGTTGATCTGTGGTAAAGAAATGCAGTATTGTATAATAAGATGTATGCGGTTCTGTGTGTTTAAGTGTGAATCCTCCGTACAGTCTGTCTGTGTTTATATCCCGTGAGTGAGACAGTTGTCATAAGAGTGTGTAAAGATATGTAATTAGTAATTAACTGTACAATTTTAATGGCTGACCTCAGGGCTTCATAACTAACTGCTGTACAATAATACTAACAACACACATTAATGTACTACTATAGCCTTATCAGGTGCTTTCAAACCATTGTACGAGTAATAGTAGAGTTAGATATGTTGTTGTTTGGAGCTCAGCAACCAAAGGTTAACACCAGGGTCATAACTTACAGTTTTTCCAATAACATTTCAGAAATATTAATGTTACCAGGCACCAAAAGCAAACTTTACCTGTACATATGATTGTAGTTTGTAACGTTTGCAGCAGGATGTTCAGTACTGAGGGCTGAAGTGTTATCTAGTTTCAGAGAAGCGCCCAAAGTATGTTTGTATGTGCATGTATTGTTAACGTGAGTGGAATCATTTGTGTAAGATAAGTGGTGTATGTTGGACCAAAAAACGTGATGAGATGTACAAGGTTGTAGTGTAAATGTGTGTTTATTAAAACTCACCATATGTTGGTTCTCCCTTAAAGCGCAAAAGCATATTACTCCAGAGTAAACTTTCACCATAGCCTTCAATTCTGCTTTCAATTCTCCGCTAGGGAGTGTATGTAAGACTTGATTTGGATAAACACTATGCATATGCAAAACAAACTTTCATCAGTTGATTTGTTTACTTTACATAGGCTATAATAAAATGTTCAAGAGACTTCAAAATAAGATACACATATGGGACAGGAACAAAATTCCCTCACCTTTCTGACCAACAAGTTTCACATTGTCCCTAATTGGACAAAATTATCCCTGTGTAAGATATAAGTACATATATACATATAAGTAACATATATATAAGTACATATATATAAGATACAAAATGACTACCCAAAAAAAATAATGAACAGGTTTACTGGTGCTGTCTGTTGTTGAAATGTGCTGGAGGCGTCGGTACTATAAAAACTGCAGAGATTGTGAAAAGCCTGTCTGATGTTTTTCCTCTGATGGTAGTGATATTTCACCTCCAGTGCCAAACTAAACCTGTCAGTTAACTCACAAGGATGACTTGCAACACGGAGTATTTGGTGTAATTACATTTCCCACCTTGTTTGACCGACAAACTGAACTATAAAGGACTGACTCTGCTGTGCACAGCTCCCTCACTGTGTTTGTTGTTGTGATGTGTGTGAGTACATTCTC